GGAGCAGGGAGCCCGATGCGGGGCTCGATCCCAGGACCCTGGGATCATGACCTGAGCTGAAGGCAGACGCTTAACAACTGAGCCACCCAGGCGCCACCTTGGATCCTGATTTAAACAAATGGTGGCTACAAAGATATATGTGATACAATTGGGAAATTTTGAAAATGGACTCATTGTTACATATTAAGGAATTGTTAATTTTGTTAGGTGTGGTTATGTTAAAAAAAAAAAGATCTTGACACTTAGATTCATCTTAAAGCATTAGGTAAGATCATCTAATATTGCCAACATTTGACTTCTTTTGACCTATAAAAACAGCAGTTGCATATGGCTCAAATATGGACAAAACAGGTATGTCTCTGGCACTTCCCTGCTCACCAGGACCCGAGCATAAAGCACAGGTAGACTGCAGGGCCTAAGTGAAGTAATATGATTCTGGGATTTTCTTTTAAAATGTTTCTGGGGAAAACAGGGTGGAGAGAGGCCCGTATCCTTGGGTTTTTGTTATGAGAGAGAAACAAGAGTTTCTGTCTCTTTCTCTCTTTTTCTTTTTAAAAAATGGGCCAGGCTCTTTGCTTTCTTTTCAGGAACAAGAAGTTATGCCCTGGCAGGGATTTGGAAAGTCCCAGGGACCCTGATTAGCCTAATTTAGGCAGTGTTTCCACTCCGTAGACCAATCACTGTGGCTGTGGCCGTGAGGCCCTGTGCCTACCCCGTCTGTAGCCAGGAGGAGTATTTTCTGAAGACTTGGGAGGGAGAAGGGCTCAGCAGACCCAAGTGATAGCCATCCTTCTAAGGCCTTTGGTTGTACTAGCTATTAGATTATAAACCATCTTGGCTTACAGATTATGTCTTTTTCCTTCGTGGTTGCTTAGTTGGCTTTTTTTCCAGCTTTTATGTTAAAGTTTATAGAGCTGGCTGCAAACTTGGTTGCAAAAAAGTAGCAGTTTCCATTTCTTACCCCATTTCCCTTCTTCAGTGGCAACTAGTTTCAACTCTCTGAACTGGTTCTTTCGGTTTTATTTCCACCTAGCGAAATGGCATTTTTCTATTGCTATACTTGATTTTTCAGTTTTAGGCATAATCTGTTGATTCCTACCATGGGAGATAATATCTTTCACACACACACACACACACACACACACACCTACACTCCCCACCCCATACATTCATCCTTTCTATCCCCCAAACTCACAATAAGTTCTATCAGTATCATGTTGACTGGATCAGGATTTAAAAGTCACATGTTAAATGTTAAGTGGTTAACATTACAGGATTACAACCATGTCAACAGTTTCCAGCTGAGCCACAGCTGCACAAGCTTTTGCTCTCCTTTGGGCTCATCATTTTTCCCCATAGACATTCAGTCCCTAATTCTGCCATGGTCTATTTTGCCTCTAAACAAATACATTCAGATTTATGAGGCATTCTATATCTTCATCATCCCAAAGAATTATCTGAAGCTTGCTGACCTACTCCAATGTGAACTGGACGCCACTTCCCTTTCTTCCATGTTGGACTCCCTACTTCCTATGGAGGTGGCCTTCCCAACAACCATTGGTGAAACCACCTGTAAAACTGGATCAATAATTATCCTGAATAAAAAAGAATTAGTAGCCGTTAAGAGTAAATTGAATCATGGACGATAATTATTGCAATGAAACTTACCTGTTCCGTTTTGCTGTTTAAAACAATGGGAAACGTAGGAGCTAGTTTCCCTTAGGCAGATAATTTTGCTGAGTTTTCTAGATCCCCCCCCTTTTTTTTTGAGCATCCACCCATGGTTGAAGTAGAAACTTAGAAACATTTAAAGATGACATATAACTCTGTATCTATTTTGCATTAGCATTCCTGTAGCAGCTTGAAACAGTGAGGTTAGAATGATATGGCTCTCTGTTTCAATATTTTAAATTTTTTTAGGGCTGTCACACTGAAATGTTCGTGAAAAATTCCATCTGGGTACTCTGCCTCACCAGCATACATCTTGAAGAGAATTAACACCCGGGTCTGAATTTGAGACTTCACTGCACTAATTTCAGGTTAACTAGACCCCCAAAATTCATTTTTTTACTTACATTTTATAAAATGGTTCCTAGTAAGGCAGGAGTGTGGTTGAAAATAATTTGGGGAGGACTTATAGTTAAGGAAATATATCAGCTTCAGTCGTTATTAAATATATATAGATAACCACCTCTTCAACAATGTAGAGAGAGCATGTAAACTATTTCTGAACTTCTGATCACAGCTTTTTAGGATCTGGAGGTACGTGTGCTTATTGTAATATTTGGTGCTTTCTAAATGCTAACTTGGCCAAATGTTTCTAATGTAAAGAAACAGTTTCAGGAAAGATATCCTAATAGTGGTTCTCAAAGTGTGGTCTAGAACAGCATGAGCAAATTCACCTCTCCTGTCACTGCTCCACTTAATGAAAAAGTGGACAAGGGAGAAAGGAAACAATTTGTGTCTTAACACACCCTTTTAGTGATTCTGCTGCAGACTAAGGTTTGAAAACCATCGTCCTAGGAAAACACTGTAAGTTAGTAACAGAGACCCAAGGTAACAGTAGCTTAAAGTATGTATCAGGTTTTTTTACCCGTAAAAGAAGCCGAAGTAGGTGGTCTTGGATGGTTCAAATGTTATATTTTCATTCTTTCCTTGCCATAGAAATTGTATCCCCATGTTTTTAAAATGGCAGCTGAGGGATGCCTGGGTGGCTCAGTCGCTAAGCGTCTGCCTTCGGCTCAGGTCATGATCCCAGGGTCCTGGGATCGAGCCCTGCAGCGGGCTCCCTGCTTGGCAGGAAGCCTGCTTCTCCCTCTCCCATTCCCCTGCTTGTGTTCCCTCTCTTGCTGTGTCTCTCTCTCTGTAAAATAAATAAAATCTTAAAAAAAAATAAAATGGCAGCTGAAATTACAGCTACTATAAACACATTCTAAACAGTAGGAAAAAGCAAGGCAGGTGTAGGGAAGGTGAACCAAGTAAGCCGTCTTTTAACTGTATTCTCAGATGCCCCACGCAATGACTTCTGCTTTTTCTTATTTGCAATCCCTAGTGAAAGGGAGGCTGGGAAATAGCAGTTGGTCATATTATTGCTCAGAATAAAAATACACAGAGGCCAGGGAGAATGGGTATTAGAAGGAACCGGCAGCCTTTAGAGCCTTCCTGGAATAGAGTTAAACATCAAAAGTAAGGCTTTCAGAATATGAGCACTACATTAACCATACATTAAAACACCTTCTTTGATCTGTTAGAGGAATGGCTGCATCCTTGCGTAAGACAAAGGTTTTTGCTCACTTTGAGAATCAGAATAGTCATTTATCAGAATAAGTATATACAGTTTATTTCACATAGGTTGAGGCCATGTTTGATATACACCAACCAAATGTCCTATGCAATTCTCCGACAGGGTGATATGTCAAAGAATATGTAACATATGAAAAGTGATCAGTTAAAAAAAAATCCATTCTCTTCAGAATTGTAATTCCTTTTTCAGAAAGCAACTCAAGGAAAGGAGAAGCTATATGTATAAAGCTGTTCACAGCACTGTTTTATATGACAGCAAAGAAAAAAAAGTTAAGTAGTTTACAATCCAAATGCCCTATAACAAAGGAAAGGCTGAGTGAATTATGGTCTGACCATTAGATAGCCATAAAGATCATGCAGGAACATGGGAAAGTGATTGCAAATATATTGGCGGTGGGCAGAGAGATAAAAAGTGTGTATGTATGTGGGTAAGATTAGAAGAGCATTCAGAGTGGAGAAAGGGGAACCCTCTTACACTGTTGATGGGAATGCAAGCTGGTGCAGCCACTCTGGAAAACAGGATGGAGGTTCCTTAAAAAGTTGAAAATAGAGCTACCCTATGACCCAGCAATTGCACTACTGGGTATTTACCCCAAAGATACAAATGTAGGGATCCGAAGGGGTACATGCACCCCGATGTTTATAGCAGCAATGTCCACGATAGCCAAACTATGGAAAGAGCCAGATGAATGGACAAAGAAGATGTGGTATATATATATACAATGGAATATCACACAGCCATCAAAAAATGAAATCTTGCCATTTGCAATGATGTGGATGGAACTAGAGGGTATTATGCTAAGCAAAATAAGTCAATCAGAGAAA